ACTGTCTGTTATACTAAAAACAACAACGTATTATCAGGCTTCAGCTACCCCAGCACACACACTTCACTGTAACATTTTTGATCCCCTGGAGATCATCACACAAGCCAGGCACAATGTGGACAAGGCAGGCGTTCCCCTTTAGTGCCTCAACCTGGACTGCCACTACACCAGGAAATTGGAAGGTCCACAGCTGCAGATTGTCTATGTGCAGGAAAATAAATAACTGACTCTCCAGCTGCATTTTCCCCAAGGAGGCAAGAGAGAGGCTGTTTGTTCTCTGTGAAGTTTATTTGTATTATCTGCCCTAATAAGATTATATCTTAACTCAGTCTAAAGATACATCTCTTTCTAAAGGTGGGAGAAGTCAGCTCAGTCACCTCGTTCATCCTGGGTCACTGCTGAGGTTGCCAGCATAAGGCCCACTTACGACAAGCTGTAGTGGTGATTTCTGACACGTATCTATGCACTGAGAATGCATTCAGCTCATTTCACAGAGGACAGGTGGTGGTACCAACTTCTCATTGATCCCAGCCCAAGCCAGGTTCCAGAACAACCAACTAGAGGCAGCAAGCCCCACAACCCCTCCCCATGCGCTGCACCAAGCAGCACCAGACAGTTTTCACTGAGGCCCTGAAACAAAGCCTCTGTCTGTGTAGTACTTGGGCAGAATTCACCTCAGTGTAGCCCCACTATCACTGATTCCTATGTCATTCCATAGTGACTGCAACTGTGGGTGTGCTGCCTACCTGAAGCCTTTGATAGGACACTGCCTGCAGACAGAACATTTGGTCTGGTGCTTCACTTGTTCAGCAATGGTCACTCTGTGCAGGACAGCCAGCCATACCATGGACTGTGGCTCCAGGTTGGCCCATTCCAGGAACTGAGAGACCTCAATCACAGGTTTCCCATTACTCTAGGGAAAGAGGAAAACAGGAGCTGAGCCCAGCACAAATCACAACTCCAGTGACTAAGCAAGGGAGTGTGGCCAAGGCACCTGCTAGCCAGCATATTCCCCCATTCCCACTCCTACCCTTCTCAGAGAGGACACCAGAATGACAGCTGTGACTGGCATCTCCCTCTGAGCCAGCACAGCTGCTATCTCCTTGCCCACTGGGTAGAACCGCAGAAGTCAGAAGACAGGATAGAAATGTCCCCACCACGCTACTTACAAAGCGGAAGCAGCTGCGGACACTGGGCTCCACATTGCTGCCTCCAAACGCTGCCACCTCTCCCAGCTGGCGTGGAACCTGGATGGCCTCATGCAGCAAGATGCCAAGGTGCCGCTGGTCACACAAGCCACCAGGGTTTGCCACCTGGCTAAAGAGGTCTTTTGGGTGGAAGGGTGAGCCCACAGAGAGCAGAATAGGGGCAAAAGAACAACAGCACAGACACATTACCATACATGTAGAAGCTGGGGAGAGAGCTCCCCCCTCAATGCCTGGGGGTATGGAGATGTAGGTTTCAGTGGTGGGTGAAAGGTATGAGGAAAGGAAGCAAAGCTGGGAGCTCTTCCCTGAAACAGGGCCCCTTTTTGCCTCAGCTAAGTTCAGAGTCTGCATATGCGTGTGCATATGTGCATGCAACCCAGCAGTAAAAAACACAGTCCCCAGCCTACTAAATTAGGTGTGGGATTTAGAGAAGGGGAAGCAGTGAGGCAAAGGGATTAGTCACAGCAGGAAGGCTGCTTCTCTCTGCCCCCAACAGGCAGTCCTTCTTGCCCAGAAACTTCACAGATCCAGGAAACCTCCCCTGCTGGAACCCAGCTTTTCCATGGAACCCCCAGGGAACGACTCACACTGGAATTTCTCCTTCACCTCCGTGCCGCACATACATGCAACGCCAGTCTTGAACGAGAGAGCTCGCATCTTCCCACTGCGACCACTGAAAGCAAAGGGCAAAATACTTAGCTCCCCCAATTTTGTGAAGGTCATTTTCCTGAAAGAGCTCAATTGGTGTCTACTAGGAGTTCAGTAGTGGAGTTCCCTTGTGGCAATGCCTCTCTGATGCCAGCTGGCCACTTGCAAGGCGAGCTTCTTCACAGCAATGCCCTGTCTCTGCCAGCTGGACCCCAGCCCCAGGCAGTGAGAACTGCCTCATAGCACTGCCTTGGGAATGCCTGCCAGAACTCCATCAGAAAGGTTTCCCTCAGCATGGTGCCTGGGCTGCATGCCAGCTCCCAGTTTCATGGTTCTGTAACGAGTCCCAGAGGCAAACAGCAAATACCTATCGAATACATTGAGCAGCCAGTTGAGACTCATGTCCACGCAGAGTGGAACATTGACCAGGATGCCCCTCTCTTCCTCCAGACGCTCGTAGAGAGCTGTCAGGCAGTGGATGACCTCAACCACGTCCATTACCCGGTCACTGGGCTGCAACTCATGCTCATTGAAGATTTCCAAGGCTGTGGCCAAAGTCACCATGTCCACTGAGCAGGCAAGGGACAGAGAGAGCAGAAACCAGAGGAAAACATTGTAAGATAAAGAACAAAAACATCATTGATCAGAGCTGAGAGGAGAGGGATCTAAAGGTATTTAGGGAAGCCCTTTCCTCTAAGAACACTAGGGCAGAAGTGCCTTTGGGATTACACAAACACAGAGAGACAGAGTCATCTTAAAACCCATGCTTCTGCCTGGTCTTCTCCTCACCTGCTGGTACAGCTAACACCCGAGTTCAATCACCAAAAGGCTACAGGAAATACAGCACTTCTCTAGTACCCCACTGTGCCCAGTCTGTGCATTGGTGAGCACTGTCTGTGCCATTGGTCTCATTACATAGTGAGTCAGTTTCCTCTATTGTCTGTGTGGATCTTACACAGCAACAGGGGAGATGGAAGAAAAGAGACATGAAAGAGAAAAATGGGACTGAAAAGCCACAGAAGGCATAGAGGAAGTCAGGGCCAGGAAGCACCTGCACAATCTTTGAACACAATTGGTGAAATTGACTTGATCAAGCCAACACTAAACACTGCCTGCTTGTCCCCACAGCTGTTCCTGCCCCGTGCAGGGCAAAGAGGTGCAGACATGAGCAGGGGGAGTATGGGTACTTACATCGCAGAGCCTTCTGGACACGGCGCAGCTTCATGGCCGTCCGATATGCAGAGAACTTGATGTTGTTCAAATCAGCTGCAAAACAAAGAGAAACCCAATTGTGTATTTTTTTCTTCAGGGGCAGGAAAAGGAATATTTACTGATCACAGGCTTTGCAGGGGAAATGCCATCTGAATTAACACAAGACCCAAGCAAGAGGGTCCAGTCTACAAAGGACAGAGACAAAACCCTCTGTCAGGGGCAGAACATGAGTTAGAGTGAGCATGTGGGAGTGAGAGGGCAGGCAGCACAGCATCACACCCGGGGCTGGGATGAGTCCTGTGCAGACTCTACCCCAAAGACATTAAGGAGAGCCAAACAGAAGGCATTCTTCCACTTGGCAGGGAAAGTTGGGGACTGTCCTGCATCCCACTGCACAAGCACCTGGATAGAAGCAGTGTTCTCCAGGGGGTCCTTACCCAGTGTCTGGTACAGCTCTGTCATCTTGGGGTGGTCCCAGCACGTTGTCTGAGCCTGATGGCTGAAAAAGCAGAAGGGAACCAAACAAACAGAGAACCAAACCTTCAAACATATCCACAGGCACAAGGATCCAGGTGGCCATTCTCCTCCTTTTCATCCCAAGGGTGCCAAAGGGATGTACTATATTTCCTGGCTAAGAAGACCCCATGGTCATACAACAGGCAGTTGAGACCCCGGACCTGCCTTCACTTGACTATTCCAGTCTCTCCACCTCAGGATACTGGTGCAGAGCAGTCCCACATGCTACTTTTTCCACGACTGAACCTGTCCAGGCAGGGCCATCCCTGGGGGGGCACAAATTGGGGCAACCAGCCCAGGCCCTGTGCTTTGGGGGGGCCCCAAGGAGCCGGGCAGAGCAGCGGCTGTGTCCAGCCACTCACTATCCCCCCACCCCCTCCCCTGCCAATGGTGGCAGCAGCTTCTTGAGGTCGGGGATCGGAGTGGGGCGGGGGTGGGGCCCCGCATGGGCTGATTTGCCCTGGGTCCCACACCCTGCTCAGGTTGCCTCTGTGTCCAGGGGATCCCCCAGCACATGCAGGCACTCTGGCAGGGGACTCCATCTCTGCAGGATCAGGTGCAACAAACCTTTCATATACCCAACTTATTCCTGGCTTCACTAGGAAATGTCTCCTCAGCCCCACCTCTAATGACCTCTGGAGTCCTTCCATCTACAGCAATCATCTCCTTGTCAGGAAGGCAAGTCCTGTTCTATGACATCTCCATGCCCGCCATCAGCCACCTGGGGGTGTCTAACAGTAGTGCACAGGCCAAGCTCCTTCTCCCCACCAACACCATGCACTCCACCCTATCCTAACAGTCTGTAAATGTCACCTCAGTAATGCCTCATGGCTACTTCAGATTTCCCCCAACTGGGGATCCTGCAAGGCTCCATGGCTCTGGCCCCTAGCATAGGGACCCAGCTAGATCTGGAATGGATAGGATTTGTGTCCACCCCATCAAGACTTATTGAATTTGAGGGGTGGAGGGGAGGAGGGAAGCCACACAGATGATGGAAAAAGAACGAAGAGCAAAGGAGAGTGAAATAGAAAACCACATGTAGGAAGAGATCAGGATCAGCCAGTGCTCTAGCCTTTGACCGCACACTCACTTGATGTAGTACGGCACTTTATTGGGTGAAATTGCTCGTTCCCAGGGGATCTGGACAGAGGCTGCAAACAGAGACACAGACAAAAGTAATGCAGACAGTCTTCCAGGTCTAAATCTTCTCTGAAGAGAGACTGCAGTCTGTCAAGCGCTGGTCTCAGAGAAGACAGCAGAGATGGGGGAACTGGGAAGACTATGTATCAGAAGTCTCTGTGCCCCCAACATCCACTCTTCTGCATCTGACTATGGGCAGAACCTGGGACACTGCCACTATCAGAGGCTGCAGTCACTGATCAATGTGACCCCTTGTTTAAAGAAGATTCCAGTGGTGCACAGAGTGATGTACTGGATATGAATGCATATTTGTGAGCATGTATACAATACTTCTCTGGATCTGGGAGGATGAAGCACCTGCTACTCATCATAGGTCCCTGGCTGACATTAAAACAATGGCACAACTGGGATTAGAGGAACTTTCTGGCACATCATGCCACAGCACGACAGGAGGCACAATGTTTGGGATGGATGATAAAATTCCTCCAATCCTAATTATGCTACTGCTGACCAGCCTCCAGCCCAATTCTGCAGACAAGGCAGAGGGCAGCTCTGCCTCAGACGCAGGACTGCCCCCAAGCCCCACCAGCTTCCAGACCTGGGGTCCCAGTACCCTGTGACTTTTAAAAGTCAGGTGTGTTTTCAATCTAGAACCAGACCCAGGACTGTTGGGAACAGGTCTAATAATCAGCTGATTGTAAGCCCAGTCCTGGGACAGCCTAGCTACATGCATGACTTTTAGAAGTCCTAAGGCTCTAAGACCCTGGGATCAGGGAGCCTCTCCCCCAGAGGCTGCAGGGCTCAGGAACTATTAGGTTCCCAGAAGCTGGAGCCCCTTGACTCCCTCTGCCAGGGAACCTTACAACTTCATTCTGCCAGCCATCATTATTCAGCATCAGGAGCAGAGCTGTCGCAGTCCTGATGCCAACCCCCCTGTCCCCATGCCAAAACTGGCAATCAACTAATTGTCAGCACTGGCTTGGGGCTGCTACACGTTCAATTTATGGCACCATACAAACAAGCCACAGAGATGTTTTGTGTGTTTTATAGAATCTTTGTGGTCAGTTTGCCACTTTATGGCACGTTATTTAATTATGGTGCATTACCACATTAATCACACCATAACTGTAATGCGTGCCAGGGCCCCAGTGTTATTAGAAGACTCCTTGGTCCTTAGCATGCAAGTCCTGTGTATCTAGAGGGGAGAGATTAAGGTGGGCAGGATTTATAGTTATAGTTCTGGTTGTCTGCAGCACCCAGATTTAACATCTGGGGAAAGGAAACCTTTTTGCTACCATCACCCAGCACCTCGGCACAGACAGGGCTCATCAACTCCAAGGCTAACATTTTTCCTCTGGGCCCCGAAAGCAAGGCTCCCAGATCTGCATGTGAATGAAACCTAATTTGCAGAAGAGGTAAGCATCTATAAACCCCAAGAATACAAGTGACAGTGCAGGATCTCTACACCTCTGAGTCAGGCTGCATTTACAGAGGACTCTAAACATCAGCCTCCAGGCCCGGAAGCTCCATGTGAAGTATGTTCCACACAACACTTGCTATGCTATGCAGAGCCTCTGGACAGAGCTCTGATGTGTGGGAATGGAATCCCTCCCACCTTACAGTGAAAAATGAAGGCCTCATTATCATACACATTCCTGTCCCCCAAACTAGCCACGTGGAATATGGGAGCTCTCTCTTTGCTGCCATCTGTCTGCTTGACCTTTGGCACCACAGGGCTGCTGAGTCTGGCATAGTCCCAAGTGTCACCTGGGTGCTGTCTCCTGCTAGTGTCACCCACTCCACGTTCTTAAGGTGACAAATGGTTACTCGATATGGTGCAGTCCCCTTCCATTTTCCCATCCACTTAACATGGATGTTAAGTGAATGGGAATGAGTGGTGCGTGGCAATGAGAAGTGCCTTCTGCTCAAGTCCCTGTACCTCAGGCTCACATAGCATTACCAAACTTGGATCATGCCACGTATCACTTAGGAGTGCCCACTTGATAATGCCTCTTCTAGGTGTCTGTAGTGTCACTGGGGTTGTCCTATCAGAGCAAGGCCAAGGAACACCAAGACATAGGGAGAATTCCTGTGTAGTGAGGCAGTAAGCAAGGAAGACCTACACTCTGGTCTCTCTGAACAACTGCAGCACACACAGTGCTGAACCGTTCCCACCCAGGGATTTTCCTCTACTAGGATTACTGGGATGACCTACTCACGTACAGGAGAGGAAGTGCTGGGAGCCTGGTCCAAAGTCCCGATGGGCATCCTGGAGCTGTTTCAGCCGCTCATTTACAGAGGTCTGCAAAGAGGGGAAGCTGGAATTTAAAGTGAACCAATCCTGTATCTCAGCACAAAGCACTGTTCTTGAGGCACTGTATATGGACTCAGACAGGCCACTGTAATGCTCCACCTGGGGACTATCCAGATCAACCAACAAGCAAAGATGCATGTATGTTTATCCTCTGCCTTCCTAGGCAATCCTTGCATTCCTTCTCTCATGAGCAACCACTTTCATTTCTCCTTGTGTGGCATCTTTATATGGCACAGCAGCTGTCCTGATTTACAATAGCTAAGAGGTTTCTAAGCTCCTTCATGGCCCCCTTGATCTCCACCTACTCATCCCTGCCCCTGCAAGGTGGCCTCTGTTACCTTGACTTAATTTAACATCCTCTGAACAGCCCCTTCCTTTAACATCTCCAGCTACTGTTGGCTTCTCACAGGACACCCCACTTCTCTACCTGAAGCTGTTTCCACCGGGTGTTGATCTGCTCCAAGGCTCGGGAGTTCTCCATGGATAGATGAACATCAGAGATAGCAAGCTGGTGTGCAAGGTCATTAACTAGCTTCACTCCATCCTTCATAGGGGAGAGCTCTTCCTTAAACAGCTAGAGCCCAGTCACCCAAAACCAGCAGAAACAGGAAGGAAAGAGAAAAAACACAGCAGGTCACTCAGTCAGCCACCCCATACCACTCAAGTGGCCCCAACCAGCTGGGGCACACTAGCAGCTGGCACTGCATAGCAGAGGAGTATGGCATGACTAACGCCCTTTTTCCTCACTGAGCCTGCTAGAAAACTCAGCAGAAATAGCTCAGACAAAGCCTGCATGCCAGGCTGGAGGTATGAACACTACTACTGGACAAGGGGGTGAAAAGAACCCTGTTCAAATTTGCTGATGACACTAAGATGTGGGGGGACGTGGGCACACTAGAAGGAAGAAGCAGGATACAATCGGACCTAGACAGGTTACAAGGGTGGGCGGATGAGAATATGATGCGTTTCAACACAGACAAGTGCAAGGTGATGCACCTGGGGAGGAACAACTGGCACCATACCTACAGGTTAGGGAACTCCCCTCTTGTCAGCACGGAGGCGGAAAAGGATCTTGGAGCCATCACTGACTCCAAGATGAACATGGGTCGGCGGTGTGGGGAGGCAGTTAGGAAGGCCAACCGTACCCTGTCATGCATCCACAGATGCACCTCGAGCAGGTCCAGAGAGGTGATCCTCCCCCTCTATGCGGCACTGGTCAGGCCGCAGTTGGCGTACTGCGTCCAGTTCTGGGCACCGCACTTCAAGAGGGATGTGGACAGCATGGAGAGGGTCCAGAGGAGGGCCACTCGCATGATCAGGGGACTGCAGGGCAGGCCCTATGAGGAGAGACTACGGGACCTGAACCTGTTCAGCCTCCACAAGAGAAGGCTGAGGGGGGATCTTGTGGCCTGTTACAAACTGGTCAGGGGGGATCAGAAGGCACTGGGGGAGTCACTGTTCCCCCGAGCACAGCCAGGAGTGACCAGGAACAACGGTCACAAGCTAGCAGAGGGTAGGTTTAGGTTAGACATCAGAAGGCGCTATTTGACGGTCAGGGCGGCTAGGGTCTGGAACCAACTTCCAAGGGAGGTGGTGCAGGCTCCTACCCTGGGGGGTTTTGAGAAGAGGTTAGATGAACACCTTGCTGGGGTCGTTTGACCCCAGTACTCTTTCCTGCCATGGCAGGGGGTTGGACTAGATGATCTTCTCAGGTCCCTTCCGACCCTAGAAACTATGAAACACTACTGCTACCTGGAATCAAGTCCACTTGCTTACAAAGTTCATCCTGATAAACAAACCTTAGTAGAAATGTCTTTTGCTTTCCCCACCCAGACAGGCAACCTTATCAGGGTTTGAGCAGACACCACGAAGGAACATTCTCCCTTGGAAAAGACCTCAGGAGGATCTATCAGTGTAAACAGCAAGTACCCAAATTATGTGCCAAAGTGGAGTCACATGAGGGATGAAGTGATGTCTGTGGTTTTATCAGAGCCTGGATACAATTTTGATACAGTCCAATCTGGGCAGTGCAAGCATGTTGGATTGCATGGTAGGAGGAAGCTGAGCTGAAACAGCCAGTACTTTCCAGAGAACAGTACTTTCTCTCCCCAAGGACAGGGAAAGGGGGTCCTGGCCAGAAGAGCTGTACCTTGGTTGCCTGGATGTGCTCTGGTAAAGAATCAATGAAGAGGTCCCCAATTGATTCCCAGGTTTCCCGCACACTTTCTGCCTGGTCCAGTGTGGTACTAAGCTCCTCCATGGCCCCCTTGATCTCCAGCAGTTGTTCCAGGGTCCGTTCAATGTGACGGTGCTGGTCCACACAGCGAGCAGTTAGCTTCTCCCACAGCTCACTAGCCACATTTGCCTGCTTCCACACAAAGCGGCTGATGTTCTGGATCCGATGCCGGGGTGAGACATCTACCAGCAAAGCAGCAGAGACACAGAGAGCAACTGTGAAATTCCAAACCTAGTAAGAAAACCATGGAAGACGTGAAGAGGGGAAGAAATGCAGGGTGATGAGGAAAGACCCAAAAAACAGGAAGCAAGAGGGGAGAAGTCAGAGAGAACAGGGAAGAGGGGAAAATAAAGGACAGACAGAAAGCAAAGAGGATGATTTCAGGACATGCTCAGGCTTACAGCTCTGGACTGCATGTTCTAGCCCCTCCAGGTGCCAGCGTCACATATTGCCTGTCCATAAATGTCTGTATGAACATGCAGAGGCTTTGGCCCACAAGGCCAGGCTCCCTTCCAGAAGCTTGCCTGACATTCTACCATGGTACAGAAGACATCTCACTGAATCCAACAACTAGAGCACTACAGCACAGCCTGGTATTGCAGCTCTGAAAAAGGACCAGAGGTGCCTGGGGTGACACAGTAAGTTAGGAGGGGAGCCATGCTGCACATCCACTGGAGGGCTAAGACAACCCTTTACCAGCCATCCGAACACCACTTTCCCTGGCAAAACAACACCAGACAGCAATGGTCTGAGTAAGAGCTTGGCACATTAGTGAAACTGCCTCAATTTCCTTGCAAGGCAGGGGAGTATTATTTTGCTTGTACATAGGAGAAAGCTAGAGCAGAGACTCAGTGACTTGCCAAAGGTCACAACGCAAGTTATTGGGAGCCATGTACTAGTCAGAGCAGGGATCCCAGCGCTAAGCCAAAGGGCCCTGTTGAGCATACTGGATCCCCTCACACCCAACAGTACAGGGATTGCCAGTAACACAAACCCCTCCTGAGGACAGCATGCATACATCTGCCTCCAAGCAGCAAAGCGAGAAATGGCAGACTGAGCCCTTCCTCCCTCCCAGCAGCCTGGGTTGGGGCGGCAAAAAGACAAGAAACCTCCCACAGGAGCCAAGCCAGATCATCATCAGAGCCTTCTGGGGGTTCAAGGGTTCAGTTGAGGGACTGGAATGTGAGTTCTGTTTGCCAGAAAGTGGCACCTCATCAAATCCCATTCAGTGCCTGACCTGCCTAGATAACACTGGTCACTCTCAGCATGTCACAGTGCTATATCACATCCTGTGGGGATCATGCCCCATCCCAACACAGGATGTACCAAGGTCATCACACTGTGCCTTGTCAGTGTTGTGTTGTGCTTGATACTGCACATACTGCCACATCACATTCACTCATTCATGCCACATGGTAGTATATAATCATTACACCCCTTCCTAAATACACACTGTGAGCCATCTCCTCTCACAATTATACCAGGTGGGATTAAATAATGATGGCACATGGACACAGGGACAAGGATGGGAGATGTCACAGACCTTTGCTTTCAGAATTTGGTTCCTCTAATTCTTCAAATGGATGCTGGGAAAGGAAGGCCTGTGCTGACTCCAGGACTGAATAAATATAGGGACCCCGAGACTTCACCTCTTCCATGAGAGCCTGCAGATGCACAGCACAACAAAAGGAGACAGCAGTCTGTGTTAGAGAATGAGGAGCCTGCCTACTCTCAGCTGAGAGCTGTGCATCAATCTACTCACTCCAGTGCACAGATGAGCTACCAGCACTGAGCTGTAACAGGCATGTTAAAGAACCTTTGCCTGAGAAAGTGGTACACAAGCTCCTTTAGTGCTATAAAAGGATAGTCAGCTGAGAAACATCCTTGGGATTCAAGAAAGACAGCACAGTCCAGGAGGAGGAGATACACTGTGGGAAGGTCTGTAGATCGAAGGTCTGTCTGAAATGGCCAACTACTGGTGTGCCCTAGAGTATAAACTATTAAAAAGTCCTTTGGATCATGCTAATGTGCATTATGAGACCAGGAAGGAGGAAACTGATTTGTACTGCCCCAAACATTAAATGCAGTGAGGCTGGTTAATCAGAACCTGCTGTGTGCTTCAA